TAAGATGTGAAGCAGGAGTTGAACCACTGGCACAGGGTAGGCATTGGATGGCAGGGCGTGGTTGATGGAACAATGGTAGTCAGCGCAGATCCTGCCATCCGGCTTGATGGGCAAGACGATGGGGGTCTCCCACCGCGCATGGTCCACCAGCTCTAGGACCCCTTACACGACAAGGTTGTCTAGCTCAGCGTCTACTTTTGGCTTGAGGGCGATTGGCACCCTCCGCGGCTTCATTCGGACGGGCGGCATGGACGGGTCGAGATTGAAGGACACAGGTGTGCCAGTGTATTGGCCCAGCTGGCCGTCAAACACAGCAGGAAACTCACTTACAAGGCAGTCCAGGTCAGAACTACTAATGCTGTAAATGCCGCTGATCTGCAAGCCAAGAGAATCAAACCAGGCCAGGCCAAGCAGACTTGGCAGCCTTCCTTCCACAATTATGAGTGGCAGCCTGCCTTCAAATCCCTTGAATTGCACTTTAAACTTGCTAGTGCCGATTACAGGGATCAGGTTTCCCTGATAGTCTCTGAGGGTCAAATTGCAGCTTTGTAATCGGCGCTTCGCAAGTTGTGGAATGAGTCTTTTTATGGTGCTCCAGGAGACAATGGATGTGGTGGAGCCGGTATCGAGCTCCATCTGGCATGGAGCGCCCTCGATGTAGACAGTCAGTTGTATTTTTTTCTTGATGCTGTGCCACGACTGCCAGTCAATTATCTCACTGGTCGGTGTATTATGGAGGATGGCGTGGCACTTGATTCTCGGCTTCTTAGGACCCTCTTGCCTGCTGCAGAACTGCCGAGGTCTGTCAGCCTGGAACCCTAGAGCGGACATAGGCTGGGCGGCCCGGCACACTCTGGCAATGTGGCCTTTCCTGCCGCAGCGCTGGCAGAGGGCTTGCCTAAATCTGCATTTAGCTCTTTCGTGGTTGCCTCCGCACCCACTACATGCAGATTTAGGGTCACACTTGCCTCTTGTAAAGCTCTTTTTGTTCACCTCATGAAGGCGGTTGATGTCTTCCTCCTCCTCTGGGTCTGACTCTTAGCTCACCTCCCTTTGGTGAACCACAGCCATGCTGTATGTTCCTGAGGGGTGAGCAACGGCTGAGGTTTTGTTTTGTTTAATAGTGGTCAGGGAGGTCGCAGCCAGCTCCACGGCGTGAGCCTCGTCGAATGCAGACTGGAAGGACAGGTCAGCCTTCACCAAGAGACGCCTCTGAAGCCTTCAGTCGCGAATGCCGCAGACCAAACGATCGAGTAGGGCCTTGTCAAGGTCCCTAAATTCACAATGGAGAGCTGCCGTCCTTAGCACGGCCATGTAATTGTTGACGGACTCTCCTTCACCTTGGTTCCATTGATGGAAAGCGTGCTGGCGGGCTATTTTGGATGGTGATGGAGCGTAATGGCTCTTAAGTTTTGCCATCAGTGTCTGCCATGGAACCGCATTGATGGGGTCAGGGGCTGTGAGAACCCTGGCTGTGTGGAAAACATCGGACCCACACACTAACAGGAAAAACACGCACTTTCATTCTTCTGTCAAGTCTGTAATGTTGTGCGTGACCAGGAAACATTCGAACCGGGCTATATATGACTCCCAAGTCTCAGATCCCTGGCTGAATGGCGTGAACATTAGGGTGGCCATTCCTGTCAAATTGGTAGCGACGTCTCGTCGCGAGTGGCAAGCTCAGTTCCTAAGTGTGACTTCAGCTAGTGACTTCAGCTCATAGTGACCAGCTAACTACCGACCTCAGTTCGGTGATCCCACCTTCGTCGCCAGTATTGTGTACTAGGACAGTGGGTGATGGCCAGAATGACTGAGGCGGAGACAGAAATAAAGGCTAACAAGTTTATTCCCTGAATGTAACAAGCTAACAATTGGAACCGGCTTGAGATAGGAACAGCGGCTTCTCATCTGACAGCTCCCTTTTTATACTCGGGGCTGTCAGATGGTAAACTAATCAGCTGTCGACTATCTCCCATCTTAACACAAACTCAATGAGCATGCTCAGAACGTGACACATGTACTATCAATAAATTATTTTAATATGATTTTCTCTTAATTTTGGCAAAGAATATAAGTCTAGAAATCTCAAACTTATTCTAATCACTTACTCAAAAAAAGTGTGTACGTGATTTTCATCCTGAAGGACAGATGTCTTATGTTCTAGCAAAATAGCAAAATTTAGATGTTAACCTTTTGTTGACCTTTTGATAGCTTGAATAAATGTTCCAAGTTTAATAAATTGGCTTTAATAGCTTGGATATTGTATTGAGAGATGGAAAGGAAACTCATTTGTAGAAAATTAAATTAAATAGGAATGACTTTTGAACAATTTTATTTGCTCAATGGGAACTACAATAGTTATGGTGCATACTTTGCATTTTAATTCAATTGCCATTTGCTTTTTCATACTTTCCAAATATTTCAATACAAAAAAACAATCTACAACTAATAAAAAGTAGTGATGGGATATGCCTGAGGATGCCAAGTTTCCAAAGTTATCTTCAAAAGTAGAACTTTTTTTATGTAATCAATATAGGAATCTAAGCTTTTAATTCTTTTCTAAAAATTGGCATGAAATTCAATGGAAATAGAATGATTCAAGTTCTATATAACATCCTATATCCATAATATTTTTCAGCTATGAAATTTTATAATACATCATAAATAGGAATATCTAATCTGCCATAATTTTTATGTGGTTCATTGCATGCAAGCCTCGGTCTTTATTTAGAATGTATAAAGGCAATATATATTTTCATTCTTTAAATTCTTTCTAATATACGCATTAATCATGTTGGCTGAGAATGATAAGAATTGTACTCTAACATATCTGGATGGCATCAGGTAGATAGGAGCTGTTTTAGTTGAAACCGATGCCCTTTCAAATGATCTCTTCTATGACTTAGCCATACCTGCTGTCTCTCATTCAGAAACCTTCTTAGAGAATAGAAATGATAGGGCATTCTTTTGGAATTTAAGCTTTGGCATTTTTGCCCCCTTTGTCGTGAAAATGTTTTCAAGACATTTCCATCAGTAGTTCTGTTTCAATATCTGTTTCCAAATCTCATATGATAAATAGTGCTTTTTGCTGACTAAAGAAGAAATGGAAAAAGAAGAAAAGTGTTTCTGATATGAGAGTTCACCAAATATTCATCAAAATATTCAGTGATCTAATAATTAGATATACTATTGTATATTATTTTATCATCTACCTTTTCTATCTTCGTATTTTCTGATCTTTTTCTCCAGCTAATGATCTCATGCAAACGTTATCCAACAGTGTTTGTTTTTATTTCTGAATTGTTTTGGCTTTTCAGCCATTCTATTGACATATTAAATAAACACAGAATTATGCGCATAGCTAGAGATGGTTCACTGAAAATAGGATTGATACTAAGTCTCTTTGGATATTGCTTGCAGAGCAACTGATGCTCAGCATGAGGTCCACATATATATTTTTTATACCTGGGCAATGCATTGAAAACATAATTTGGCTTGTATAGAAAATAAATGAGGCGTAAGTAATAGCATGGAGGGGACGGTCTACTCTTATATTTGACACAAGTTTGGTTTTCGTTTGCAGCATTGACCCATAAATGTTGCAGGCTTTATGTCAGTAATGAGCCTACTAACTTTGGCAAGTTGTTAAATAGCAGCATTCTTCATGATGCTATTTGGAAAACAAATATTTGGAAAATGTGTTGTTGATATGTTGGGGAACACTTTGCCAAACTGCTTTTTCTCCTGTACAGTGTAACTGCCAAAAAAAAAAAAGATATGTGATTATTAAGGCTTTACATACTCTTCAAGAGACTTATAAATTTTATGTTTGTTAAAGTCTGTGCCAAGTGGTTTTTATGTTAAGCCTCTTATCCTATGATGATATATTTTTACATTTTGCTTCAGCTGATGAAATTTTCTATATTGAAATATCAGGAATCTACTATATTTATTTTGCTACAAAGAAATCATTCTTTCCTCCAGATAATTAGCAAGGAATGTTGTGGAGACAGCTGGTTATCTTACATCCCTTGACAAGAATAAATAACATACTGTAAGGTAAAGGTAAAGGTTCCCCTCGCACATATGTGCTGGTCGTTCCCGACTCTAGGGGCGATGCTCATCTCCATTTCAAAGCCGAAGAGCTAGCGCTGTTCGAAGATGTCTCTGTGGTCATGTGGCCAGCATAACTAAATGCTGAAGGTGCACGTAACGCTATTACCCTTCCCCCAAAGGGGTCCCTATTTTTCTACTTGCATTTTTAAATGCTTCAAACTGCTTGGTTGGCAGAAGCTGAGACAAGTAACAGGAGCTCACTCCATTATGCGGCACTAGGGATTCAAACCACCAAACTGCCAACCTTTCTGATCGACAAGGTCAGCCTCTTAGCTACTGAGCCACCGCCCCCCTTAACATCACATACTATATTTGAAAACAAATTAATAAATGAGAAATGCAGACATATACTGGAAAGTATAGGCTGGATGCTGAAAATTAGGCTTTTCATACATACCCAGTAAAACACAAATTATACACAATCAGATGCTGGCATTAAAAGACAATATTTTAAAAATGTCTGGTGGATCAGGCCAGAAGCCCAGCAAGAGACATTCAGGGAGCCCAGAAATATGATGATGATGATGATGATGATGATGATGATGATGATGATGATGATGATGATGATGATGTTGTTGTTGTTGTTGTTGTTGTTGTTGTTGTTGTTGTTGTTAATTTTGGTGAGATTCACAGCCTTTGAGTCTGGTTAGTAGCTCAACAGCTCGACTCCTAACCAAGGACCTAGGAACTGTTAAGGTAACGTCAGAGGTTATAAGTTGTTCCAAGTAGGGTGGTTTTTTGTGTTATTTACTTTATTCATTAAACATGAAACTCAGCCAACTGAACATTCAAAAATGCATTACAAATACCAGTGACTGGTTTTTAAACTAGTTTCAATAATTAAATAAGAACCAATTTTCTTTCTCTCCTTCAATTTCATACAGTGTGAAAGGGGCTGATGCTGGCAACGGGATCCGGATTTTTGTTCCTGATATTCTCATGTTTGTTGCTAGCCTGGTCACGTGGCTTGTGTGCAGAAACATTGTTCAAAAGCCAGAGCAAGAAAATTTGGGAGAATACAATGCACAGTTTGAAAATGAAGACATGGTATGTGTGTGTAATTACGCTTCAATTTTTATTTGTATTTTCCTAGTGCATCTGATACTATGGATAGGCTTTGCAATTTTCTTTTCCAGCTGAAGGAAAAATGCTTTATTATTAATTTTATACTAATTGAAGTATCGCAACTCCCAAATGTGTACTTTCCCACATATGTGGGAATAGGGTTTGCTGCAGCTAGCTTTCATTTTTTACTATCTTTTTAGTATTTCTCAAAGGAAATCCCTTTAAAAACACAGCACCCTATCCTATTTAGAAATGTGAACCATAGGAGTCTGTTACACAGGAGTCACAATTATGTAAACAAAAATAGCAATGCAATCAACCTATTATTTTGCAAATGGTATGATTATATATTTATGTAAGTCACATTAGTAACATTTGATCCAAGTATGTAAACCTTGTCAAATGGACCAGTTTGTGTAGTGATTAAAGCACCAGGTTTGAAACCAGGAAACTGAGTTCCAGTTCCAAAGCCAGAAGGGTGACCACTCACTCTCTCAGCCCAAGAAGGAAGCCAAGACCCCATTCTCTATTAACTCTGCTTTTTGTGAACCATTTGGGAAGCATGCTTTGTAACAAGTATAAACTGACAACCATCGCATGGGACACTGCGATGGTTGCCAATTTATACTTGTTACAAAGCATCCAAATGGGGATTATGTGACTTCAGGACACTGTGACAGTCATAAATGTCACAACTGCTTGCAAAGCTGGGTTGTGTTGGGTTTTTTTACACCATCATAACTGTAGCATGAGAACCTGTCAGTAAGCAAGGACTACTTGTATTTGCAGAATCTCCAAGTTTTCAGAATTTACAATCTGCTAACTTAAAATTTGGTCTTATCATCTGTACAGTTATAAAGGTGTTGCTGAGACATATCTATGACATGCAGATTATACTTGAAACCTTGATTTTATAACCCGGTAAAGGTGGACTATAAAATATGCAAAGTAGTTTATCCATTGTCTTCATAGAAATTCATACTATAGTCGTATATGTATTTACATAGAAATACAAGATTCAGTGGAACTGTTTCTATGAAGAAATGCATGGAAGAACTATAAAAACATTAACATTTTCCATATATAAATTCTTTTAATCACATGGATTTCAGAAGCATTATAAATACCAATCCAATAATCTGACACATGTTCGGTTTAAAATGGCCTATTTATATTACCCAAAATTTATTAATATTTCTTCAATTAAACAAGTAAATTTGTAAATTATTTTCCTGGTGTGTTTATTTGCTTATTCTGTCAAAGGTTATTTCATGCCTCAGATTCTGTGATCCCCAACAAGAGGACAATAGGTGAGAAGCAAATTTCATGAGCAAAGCAAAGCAAAGCCAGAGAGAACATCCCTAGTGCCTTTTGCAATATACTCATACTACCAGAGACATGCAGTCAGGGGAGGCGGGAGGCAGGGCCTCACCACTGTCATCCTGAAAAGAAAAAAAAATTAAAAGGAAAAAGGCTAAGGTAGTTCCTGCCAGATTCACAGTGGATGATTCTGCTTAGTGCTTAACTGCAGGGGGAGGCGAGAGAACCACGTGCCTCCTTTAGACTATCTTTATGATCACTTGAACAGAGTTAAGCAAGGGTTAAAAGGCAAAAAATTCCTTATATAAAGGAGGACAAAGCTATTCCCGCCTCCTCCTGCAGAGGGCACGTTTTTTAGAGGTTTTTTTTAAACAGTTAAGCAGAGTCATCCACTGT